AAAACACTTAATTGTCCAGGCACAAACCCCTATTACAGTACAACAAACATACATACTTTAGATCTCTTTGGTTGGGTAATTAAGCACAGATATGTTTGATGATACACTCTGGGGTGGCATCATCTAACAGTGCAGCAAAGACTTCTGATTATTCCCTCCTAATGTGTACATTCCGCTTAAGTTTCATATTTGTTGTAAGGCACAATAAACCCATATCGCAGAAATAACTGGTTAGTTCTGGACAAACAGTACATGCAGCAAAAGAACAAACATCCTCTGAATGTGAATCCTGAAAGTCAGAAGATTCACCCCCTCCTTGAGTTCAGAAATTTAAGAAGCTAGTTTTAAATTATATGAAACATACAAGTAAGGTATAAAATATCCTTCAAGATAATAACTGCTAGGAGATAGAGGAAGACTTCAGGCCTCCTTGCTTGTAAAATGTCATTACTTTTGTTTCCAGATTTATAAAATTACTATTCTTTTTACAATTTTAGATGCTTCTTGACCACAAGCACTAGGTGACTCATGCCGCTGGGAGTCCTGCACGCATATTTCACACGAAACTGAAGGGATGCACCCTCTTGGTTGTTCATCTGCCCTTGCTAAGAAAAGTGCACAGGCACTGGAAATCTACATACAGGAAATGCTCCTGTGCACATGGGGCCAAATTCTGTCCTGCTTAGTTTAACTGAGAACAGTTGTTGAGGTGATTTTGCAGGATTTGAAGTTGGAATCTGTCCATTATTGTCATTAATCTCAGACTGATAGCAATAACAATAAAAGATGGTTCCAGCCTTACTTCTGGGTGAAGCAGCTTTCTGAATGCGTCTTCCTGAATCCACAGGCAGGGTGAAGCAGTAAATGGAAAGAGGTATATGCTTCGAGAGACTGTGACCATTCCGTTATAACTGTCTGAGTGTCAGCCTTGTGCACTGGTTCATACTGCCACCATATACTGGGCCAAATCTGTCCCTGATCCAACTCCAGTGAAATGAATGGACCATATTCTCGGCTGGTGCAAAAGGACATTAAAGTCAATGGAACTGTGCTAGTTTAGCCCAGCCGAGGACCTGGCCAATAGATGTCCATGATTTCTGTGGCTGAAATGTTCTTTAGGTAAGACCACAGGAATAATGCTGCAAATAGTCCAGACAGAGCATGCAATTCAATGTATTTCTCGTTCTCTGCAAAACTCCGGGCAAAACAGAGGCAGCTTTAATTAAAAGTAGTAAAGAACAAAGGGGTTTTTAACATCATGCTTTGTAGGAATTTGCTTAAACTTTAAGCATATTTTTCAAAGCTGAGTCTGGGACCAGAAAAGTAGTAGAATTTGGCAATGTTTCCTGTAAGATTTCCAGTGGACTTACAAGTTACAAACATATGTGAAGTTGAAACGATCCTTTATTCTCATCCATAACAGAGAGGGAGGGAGGAGAAGGAACATGTATGCCAGATAGACATACCTTCCATTTAAACAACAGAATGTGATAATAAGGACTGTCTGTGGGGCTTGGACGCTAACTGCCATTCATGTGTGTGGGAGATGAGCATCCATATCCCCTAAACACCATGTAAAATCCTCAGTTTGGGAATCAATGGAGCAATGCCTTATTTACAGCAGCCAAAGATCCAGCCCCAGACGCTTTTTGGGGCTTTGTGTACTGTCTTATTCAGAGCAGATAGCCTGCTTGCTTGAGGGCCACATAATAAAAACTGACCCTTATTTTACAGTAGGAGTAAAACTACTATTTAAATATCTATTTTAAAAACACTGTACCGTGCAATGAGTCTTTATATTGTGCATATGTACCTGCAGAAAACATGAGGTTATAACTACGTTATCTGGAGGGAGTGACACATATTTTCAACGGGAGAAAGAAAGAGTAAAACATAATAATAAAATAAGTTACTCGATATCTGGAAGACTAGAATAGATTAATCTTACTTTGTCCCAAACCACTGCTTTTATGTACATCCTCCGCTCCCACTGAAGAGCGGGAAGTCTCCTATTAGAAGTACCAGACACTCCAAGATAGGCGCCACTGTAACAACATACACAGTTTTCACATCAACTGTGCTGCAAAGCCATGGAATTCAGAGCCTTAGTAACACAACAAATGCAAAATTAAAAAAAAAAAAAAAAAGTAACAGGTACTGGTGTAACACCACGGTCTTTTCAATTATGAGACCTGATCGCATCAACAACTGAGATAGTGCTCTGAAACAGTCTCTAGCTTGCCTCCAAATATAGTCTGAGCTTCACAGACAAAATGTTATGCCCCAAACAACTCCTTCAGAGCCACACACAAGTTCTCCATTAATACGACAATGATACAGGGTCCTTCTAATTTTCCAAACGGTTGAACAAATTAATGCAAAGCAGATATAGCTACTGTTATCATCTCAGTTTTATGGGCAAAGAGGTGGGAAGCAGATTGCTCATGCCGGAGCCCAGCAAACAGATAAACAAGCAGAGCAGAGAGAACTCTGGACTATCCGATTCCCCGCTCACGCGGAGATCCCCTGAATGTCAAGGGAAGTTGTGCCAGGGGAACATATAGCTCCATGTTCTGCTTGTGATAATCTCCACTTTAAAGCGCCTGCCTTAAGCACCCTTTTTGCTTGGGGGCACGTGGGGACAGCCAACTGCTTATGGGCTGCTTCTGTTTGTAGAGCATCAGTGACTCGGTACAGCTGCAAAGTGCACGCCTTGCACACTTGCTCTTCCCTTTCCCTGCACTTTTCCATGCAGCCCTAGAGACTCTGGCTCACAGCATGGACTTCAGTGCTTACCGACAGAGCTCAGCTTCAAGGCTCCACAGAATACCTTGCCAAACACGCTGTATTCAATATAGTGCAAAACAATAGCAAGGATGCCTATGCCATGCTCACGGCACACAGAAAAAACCTTAGTTCCTCAAAGGCTTTCCACAGAACCAGTTAACAACCAAGACAGAAACAGACTGGGATGTGCTACCTCTGTTCTCTTTCCTTTCCGTTTTTCTCCTTTACAAGTGATCTTGTTTTGTCCTGAGCCTGATTCGGAGCCCACAGAAGCTTATGAAAACACTTCCCATTGCCTTCCAAAGACCAGGCCCCCGATGAGGGTGAATACATGCTTTAGTTACTGTATATATTCACATTAGAATAAAAAAAAAATAAAACAAACCCACAAAGATTAACAGCATGTCATTTTTATACATCTGCATTCTTCTTATTATTTAAAGCTTAAGGATGTGCTTTTCCATGCTACAAAACCCACCCTGGAGGACAGGTAACATCTGTTCCACCTGCCCAGAGCCTGCCTGCCTCCGCTGTCGCTGGCACAGCGCAAAGGGAGAGGAGACCCATCCCCAGCCAGGCAGAGACCACGGCTGCTCCCACAAGCCCTTTGGGCAGCTGCAGTCCCCACCATCATCCCCCACGCTGTGTATTCTGGAAGGATATATAAATACACGCTTAAGTGCACTCCTGGATGGGGGCCTGCTTGCTTGAACAGCAGCTGAAGCCCTCCCACACGGGCTATCTGGCCAAGGGGTCCGTGTAAACATGGGGCTCCCTTCCCTGGCCTGTCCATCCAACCTTTCCTGCTCACCCGTCTGAGGCTGTAGCCAAGAACTTTCTCTCCGCAGGATGCCTCTGCTCATGGTCCCTCTCTGGACTCCTCCTGCCCTGCTGACGTGGTGCGGAAGGACCTATCTTTGGCTCTCTGCACCACTAGTAAATGTCACCCACGATGACCGAAAGACAGAACTCTTCTTACTCGTGCAAGTACAGGCACCCAAGTCACCAGGTCTACTTGCAGAAGTAAGGCATCAGGATTTGGCCCTGAGGACGGATATTTGCAAATCAGTGTTTTCATTCCTCCTGCCACTGTGCTTTAGTAACAAAGATAAGGCCACTAGGAAGAAAGGCACATGGAATTCTGTAAAAAATACACAAAAAGGTTCAACTAATTCGCAAATTACTAACAAAACAAACAAAAAACCCCTGAACACAAAGACAGAGAGGGTAGAGACAGGGACCTCCTGGGTTTGTGAGACTGGGAGTTCATTTTCTAGTTTCAGTGTGATTAACATTTTACTTTTACAGTCTATTGCTTGAAAAACTACAAAAAAGTAAAACCTTGTCAGAAATAACTACGTTTACTTTCTGCTCAAACAATAAAAATAAATTAAACAGCCAGAAAACGTTTTCCTTTTCAATGCATTGTGTCTAAAGTGAAAGGGAACATAAACCATAAATAAAATCCATTGTACTAATTTAAAAAAAAGTCTCCTTTATAACAACTGAAACAATATTTACATTCATACTGGAGAGAAAGCTTCTGAGTTGCATAATTAAGAGTTTCAAATGATGCTTTTTCTGGTGCACTGACAAAATGCTAGCTGTAGCATTTAGAAACCTGTAAATGTTTGATGAGAGATTTTTGGTTTGAACGCAAGTCTGCTGGAAAAAAGCAAACACACCAGTAACAATATTATTTTTGATTTTGTTTCGTTTCTTAACCTCAAACAACATAAAAGTAGCCGGCGAGGTATCGTCTAGAGTTCCGTAAAAACTCAATGCCCATGGACTAGAAGTAAACAGCAAAAATGACTGCATTGTTTCTACGTTTTTGGAGCGAGATTTTTGTTTTCTACCTAAACTTAGGAGTGTATACTTACTGTTGAGAATATGTTGTACTGTGGAGAGTCTACTTAATATATCAGGGTAGTATCTCTTAGCCAAACCTGTACCCATTTTCTTGGTACTTGCCCCGGTGTTTCCTTTCTCCTTTAATCTGCTTAAAAGAGAATACTGCATGCAAACCAAGTGCGGCAACCTAATTACATTGCCGGACATTCCTCTGTACATCGATTCAGACCATTTAAATGTTCTTCTGTTTTCTTTAAATGAAAAAAAAAAAACAACCCAAACAAAAAAAAAAAACACTTGGTGCTTGTTAGGGCCTCAACAGGAGACTTATCTATTAAAACAGAAAGTAAGAAAAAAAGTTACAAGTCTTGCATATCTTCATCCATCTGAACTGTCTGCAGTTTGGCAAGTTCTTTTTTGTCCGTTTCCAGTTCTTCACAAACCGTGTCAACCATGTTACTCATAACATACTTGGATTTCGAATCCAGCATCATTAAATTGCCAGTTGACTTACTCTCAGAATTAGGTAAGAAATTCTCTTTGACGTCAGGTACGGCTTGCAGAACTAACCTGTGCTCTCTAACAAAATCTTGATGTACTTGTGCAGAGGGGTGGCTGACACGGTCTCCACTTGTAGAAACTATTTCTCCAAGCGTGGGCTGTGCTGTAGAAATGGACAACAGATCTTGACTGGTAATGAGGGAACAGTTCTGAAGGGTTGCATAGTTAGTGTTGCTGATAGATATCACGGTAGAGGTACTGGTCACAGGTGATGACATGGACTGGCTCTCCGAGATACCAGAGTTCAGTTCTGCAGCATTTAGAAGAGTTGGTGGTGTGAGGGAGAAATTATGCGAGGGCGTTACATTCACTAATGAGGAGGCCAGGGACTGGAGTCCTCCACTGGATATATTTTCAGAAGACATGTTTACATTTAGTTGCGTGTTCTGACTGACTGGCATCAACTGAGAAAACACAAGGCTTCTTTCCAGCCCTTCTTGCTTGACAGAGCCTACTGCCTGGCCTGAATTGGGAACCGTATAAACAACTGCACTCGGAGCGAGGGGGCTGAAGAAAACCTTTCCCTGCTGCACTGTTGAAGACTCAGTTGTAAAAGTTCCTCCATCAGATGTGCTGGGATTTACTGAAACATTACCTAGAGAAAGGGAAGCAAAAGAAAGGAAAACACAGATTACAGTGGGCAGAGTTGTGCAGGCATTTTGTTAAGACATTTTGGTCTTAAATGACGATATTTCATGCAACACAGAACAGCGTTGTTTATAACAGGTGAGAGAAAATTCGGTATGAAGAAATAAAAGCCATAAATAGAACCTGCTTCTAGAAAGAAAAAAAAAAAAGGTTCTGGTATATTAGGTAACTTTCAGACTCTCATTAAGGGGCAAACAGTCCCCAGCCATGTGATTAAAATGAACGTGCTTTGGCCTTCACTAGTTGCTACCACTCTATTTCTGTCTAAGAATAGAAGCATGAAAAGCTATTAAAGATAGTTCGGTGACAGACTACAGCTTGTGTGTGGGAACTGGAGACACGTCACATGAAATCCACTACTCCCAGGCAGAACCTATCCGAGTCGACCTGCAAAGAAAGTACCAAAAAAGCTTCTATCAGGTTAACTAGGTAGTCCGTCAAACACATTGCCCTTCACCTCGCTTCATCATGTATTCCTAAAAGCCTAACCCTACCACATCCACCACGCTGTGTAAAGTCACCCAGCAACTGCCTACCCTCACGGAAAGCCATGGCACTGCCCACGTGATGCTGTAGCCAGCCAAAGCAAGAAACAGTGGCCAGAGATGACCTGAAGCTTGTTTTACTGGACATGCCATGTAAGTTGTCATTAAAATAATTCCTAAAATAAGACATACTAGCTCTAGGGACTGGGTCCCACTTCAAACACCCCTCTTTTTCAAAAGCAGTTTAATTGTAATTTTAAGGGGCTACAGTTGGAGACACATGAATTTCTTTAGAACAACGCTGAAGATACATTTCTCACCTAGGGAGTATTTTAGCTCCCTATTCATTTCCATTAATCAACGATGACTTTTTGGAAGAAGTTACTCATTTGTGTAAACTAGACAAATAAAGCAAGGCACTTGAAGTTACCTGGCAGTAAGATATCATTTACTGCAGCTTACTTAAAATAGCCTGCAGCACATTTCACTTAGAATAGGCAGCCAGCTATCCATCCTTCTTGTGTTAAGAAAAACAAAAAGAAAGAAATCAAAGCAGCAATTACAGATCTTCACTTTTCTCTGCACCAGACTAGATATATGGTGGATCACTCTCAAGTGGCAACTGTGGGTTTTTTGGTTTTTTTGGGGTTTTTTTGTTTTTTTTTTAACAATGAGGAAAATGTTCAGAGAGGAACTTATTATGAATCTCAGGACTTTCAAATATAGTAGTCCCATCCTACTGAAGCGACAGAACTTTTCAACCTTTGCAGGCTGCCAGTGTATGCCTTGGAGCGTGTGGATTAACCAGCTTTTGCGATTAGAGGTGGTATTCAGACTAAATGTCTTCTCTTTTTCATCTTGGTTAAACTATGTACCAATAGCTTCCAGTGACTGCAAGTGCCATACTTTAGGATCTTATAATTTTTCACCCATTTAAAATGTACTTACACGACTTCTGTGTTCCTCCCTGTATTACTTTAATGGAAAGAATAATTCACTCCCTATACACTTTTAATTCAAATAAGCTAACATGAGCACAGATTGATTTTTCATTATAGTACTCACAGCTCCTGAAACTAGAGAGATTGATTCAAGTTTAATCATTTTCATAACCAAAGACACAGTGGCTAATGAGTAACAAAGCTGTTCAGTTGTGCTTTATAACTGGCCTGCTTCAAAACAAGGATCCAGAACTAAGCTTGCGCTCCCTGGAATTCTTCCTGGCCGGCTGCAAGTTTCAGACTATGGTATGTTAAGACAAACGCTAAAGCAAACTTGGGGAGGAGCCTGCACACTTGGCACATGAACCTGCGATGACATATTTCCCTTGGACTGAGGGCAGTTTATCCAAATACCCTCGTGTTTTCTATCTACGAGCTATTGCATATTTCTATTGTTTCCCCGCAGTTTAATCCCTCATAATTATAGGACAGAAAATGTACGAGTGTAACTGCTTGGTCTTGTTGTGTCTATAGTAATTTAAAATTCATTTTTATGAAATGCTTTGGTTAAAAAAAACAAAAAACCAAAACAACCACCACAAGAACAACAACAGTAACAGTTTCCAGCTGCTGCATTTTCATTTTTATGAACCTTCTCATTAAAATAATTCAATGGCAAATGGGGAATATTTTGAATTACTAAAACGTGTAAAATTTGCAGATATTTGTGAAGACTAGTCTCACAGACTTCTGAGAACAGCATGAGATGAAAGAGGTGTAAAATACCAGACCTCCTTCTCTGCTCTTAGTAGAGGAGCTCAGCCTCATGTAACAGTCTGCCCACGACGAGCATAACCCACATAAAGGAAGGCAAAAGGTATTATTTGATGTACCATGTGTGGCTGAGATACAATCCTGGTACCTTGGAGGATAACCACCACAGCTTCTAAAACGCTAAGTGTGCCTAATCCCAACTTTTTCTTGTACCCCTTACTGTAAGAGACAAAACTTTTACCTTGTGAAGCTGCCACAGAAACAGGAGGCAGCTGCAGAGAAGAAAAACCGATGCTTCCGTTCAGCAGCTGGCCATTTGTTCCTGAATTGGGGATCTGGACAATGCCATACTGGTTTATTTGGACAGGAGCAGTAAAAGTAACTACAGAGCCTCCATCTTGGGAAGCAGCAGTTTGTACGCTTTCCCTTTTCACCTCTGAGCTCGGTATCAATCCTGGGAATGAGACCGGGATGCTGCTGGGACTGAAGGTGGCTGCCGCGGTGTTGGGGACCGAAGCCTGAATGAGTTTGAAGTCCTTAACATCTTCTGACGAAGACGACAGTATGTCAGTAATGGACACCCCATTGCTCACAACACTCGATGTGGTTTTGGGCGAATTTAAGGTAACTGTCTGTGAAGCCCCCACACTAAGTCCGTTGAGAATGACGCCGTTGGGTCCCTGAAGAAAAGAGCTACCATTGAGAAAGACAGGAGAGGTACTGGCAGGCACGAGGTTTCCATTCAACAAGACACCAGATGAGCTCAAGGCTATTTTAGTGTTTCCGAGCTGCTGCATGTAGACGGGCTCCATGTGGCCAGGAAGGCTGAGGCTGGTAACGCCGTCGGATGAGCTGGGGAGCGGATGGGGAGATAAATCCTCCTGCCCTTTACTGGATTCATCTTCCGTGCTAGGGTTGCCATCTGACTCGCTATGGGAAAAAGACGGAAGAGATGACATTGCATTACCATAGTGTGCCAGCGAGCTCTGCACCAAGGGGGACTCCGTGCTTTGATACAGCTTGTGAGAGTTCTCCCGAATTATTTTTCCCATGTTTTGCCTCTACGAGACCCTTCAAGCGAGTGGCAAGTGAAAGGGGAAGGTTTCTCAGAAAAGGACACATCAAACCAGCCGCTTGCTGAGGAGAAACTTTACAGACTGGGTTACGGACGTGTCAATAAATCCCCGCTCCCTGGCTACCCCACCCGGGCGACCGAAGGGGGCTCCCTGTATCCCCCCTC